AACAGTGATGTATCGCCATCCTCAACTGACGATAGATAATCGAGCTACCGAGGGAACGGGCACTCACAATAGCATATAACCAAGACAAGTCACCAGGAACGCTGATCCTTCTTTTGATGAAGCGTGGAATCCTTGTGGCAAAATTTATAATATAATAAATTCTTACTATCCTTATCTAATAAACAGAGTAATGCACGTAATGAATAATAATGGTACACAGGCAATGCAGGACACCCACAATGCAAGAAAACATATGCGTGACTAACATAAAACATATTAACCATCAATGTTTGAACTATTCGATTAGTGACATCGTACAGTTAATAATAACCTGCAGATTATGGTTGTGGTTTTCACACAGTAGCTGTAGCATACGCAGCAGAGGCTCCATGATGGCGATCTCGTATGGCAGAAAGTCACTTTGGATGCATTCCAGACCCATAGCCGGAGTGATGAAGAAGTCATCCTGTTGCTCAGTATCGTATGATTGCGTTTCTTCGTCATCCATCTTCTTCAGTTGTTCATTGGCCTTCCTCGCAGCATCGTCCATGAGGTTATGCAACGAGGATGCTGAAGACAACGATGACGCTGAAAGCACGACATCAGAATTGTCACACTGCAGAACAAACCCACACCCACCTTTTCTACCATGGCTGCCAACACCAGATTCGTTGCTGCTGTTCATCATCGTGCTCTTAAGCTTATTCTGCGCCAGTCCTATTTTCTCGTATAATATGCGAAAGAAGTTTTCGCTCAAATCACTGGTTTGCATCGTTTCGTAGAACGTATTCTGAAAACGAACAGCAAGAAAGAGGTGATTATGAAATTCTTCCATGGCAAACCGTTTACCTGCACCAAATTGTTGCCCCCCTCAAGAAGAGCAATTGCCAACTGCACCGCCTCACAGAACACCTTGTCAGAGCCGTTTTGAACTATTAACTTGATGACGAGCCGCGTGGCTCCGGCCGAATTCAGACAGTTTTGCACGTTAACAATCGCCCTACTGATCGGATCCTGAGAGCCGAGAGACCACGCTTCTGCCTTGTCTGGCACAGTTTCAGTAATAAAACCGTCAAAGTGGGTCAGATACTTTGTCCCAAAGAACTTCATCAACAGTGCAGATCGTAGCTCTTTCGCCTAAACACGAGTCTGCAAATGCAAATCAAAACAAAAGCATGAAGATAATCTTCAGTGCATTCACTAATGCGCTTTTTCAAAGGGTACGTCATGCAAACAGAAGCTCCGAAGGGGTTGAGATGAACCTGGTTACAGGAGCATGATGGATATACTAATCATTAAAGTATATTTGCGGGAACCTCAACAGTAGGTCTCAAGTCAATTTTGTAACTGAGTTTTGTATTTTATGCAAGTAATTTGCTATGCAAAGTAGTAGAAATACACGTCTTCATGCCTATCGACGTGGTTTTAAAAGATTCATAATGGATAAAAACAATAATTCATTCAAAATAATTGCTACGTGTCAAGAACGAGATTTATAAAGCCTAGTCAAAAATGAAGGTCTAATGGTTGTGTTTGTCAGTATCAGTACTAGTTTGCACAAGCAGAACTACTTTGGCTTGTGATATCTGGCATATTTTCAATCTTTCCAAGAGATAACTACCCTTTACCAAGTTTTACGCTGTATTTGACATTTACAATGATGCAGTTCATGTATAAAAATCTAACTGGTTGGTGTGAAGGGCTTATGCCTAAATGAGAGAGCTAACTTCATTTAAATATACTTTACATAGAGTTAAAGTATTTACACTTTTAATAATTTGTTTTGCAAATGTTACATGTTTTGCCCAATGCTTGTTAAATGTTCTGGACTTTAATTTACGTCATGCATTATGGCCATCAGTACTGCACGATGCACAAATGTACTTTTGACCTTTCATTAGAACGACGGTCTCTGTACGATGAAACGACATCTATCGGACCAAGCAAGGCATAGGCTGCTTTTTGTTGAAAGGAGCATTACATTTTCAATTCAACAATTGGACAGGTTATGGAATGCATGGGAAGCAAGGGAGGTCCACCGATTTAATTTACTGGAATCTTTGCTGGAGACTTAAGAAGTAAGGCACACAAACCGATCATACTCGGTTCGCATGTCAGATCCATTTTGTAAGGTATGTTTGACATATATTTTGACTTTTGAGTGTTTAAAAATAATCCGGTGTCAAAGCAATCTTCCCACACCATGTGGAGTATATTGCACGTGCACATCAGGTCTACAGGATATTTGACTAGATGTTGTAAACCAGCCTCTCTATTAGAATAAGGCCTTCGTCCATCACGAGGTCAGCGAAGAGGAAAGCAATGTGCCTTAGTAAATGTGAAAGTAGATGTCACCTGTGAAGCTCGACACTTAATAGGGAACAAAAAGAAGAGCCCTCATTCGAATTTACCAGCGGACATAACCCATTTCTGCATCTCTTTCCAAAACAGAAAAGATGTACTGAGGTGATAAATAATATTTTAATGTGTTCCAACTGGGGAGATCATCTACTTCAATGAACGTAGCTCTTAAGTCGATCACAGTGACATCGAACCTGGTACTGTGTCGAATATTAACCCAGCATTCAGTAGTCAACAACAGTCATTGAAACGATGCAAAACATGATCCCATAAACGTGCCACGCATGCAAACAAAAATAATGTGCAAAATGAAGGATTCGTAAGTGAACGGAGAAAAACCTTAATTATAAGTGATGTCTTATGCCTTACGCATCAATAGTCGTTCCAACGGGCTCTAATGGTTGGTATAAACCACATCTCAAGTGTTCAAACTAAACGTGTTTTCATTAGATATAACAATGAATATAATACAATTTAAAGGGTACATGAAAAACTCCGTCTTTGAATCAGGTAGTAATGGCATACAAATTTATATCTTCAGATCAAGGCAGGAAGCGACGTTCGAAAGCGGAAAAGATGAATTAGCATAAATGCATGCAAGTACAATCCTCAACGGCTCTACTTGTCTTGAAATGTATGTTCTTCTAGTCATTCCATGTGAGTAATGAGAGCAACAATGCTATAATGCCAACAATACGCTTGAGCGCTACTTGGTTTTGGTTAGAATCAGTAAACATGATATAGGCGGCCGTCATCGAAGTCGTGCATATTAAATATCTGCTTACCTTACGCATCTTACAGTTATGCAACATTAAAGAATTTCAGCAGCAAGCTGGAAACTCAATCGAATGGCAAAGTCAGAGGGTAGACATAAAAAATTTCCTGAGATCATGCATAAGAAAAATATTCAATGGCAGGCACATTCGGCTAAAGATAACAGGCGGTAGAGGAAACCATATATGGTTATGCATTCTTCATGCAGTTCAAAAAAGTATCTTACCAAAGCGGAATGATTATACATGTGAACCTGAAATTACATGCAAGATTAAAAATCACAAATACTGTTTAAAGCGAAGTCGTTAATGCACGGCAAATTTAATTTTGCTGATGAGCATAAATCAGTAGATTAGCATTGCCAACGTCTACAGAAAAACAACATACATCTCTCACAAGTAAGTAAATGATAATACAAATTTTAGGAATCATAATAATAACAAGATTAGACTATCAATAAATTTTCGTAAGAGTATAAAGTTTTGTCATTCGCATAAAATTCTAGGCTCTGCATAAATCACACAGAGCCGTGATCTGAGAATACAACATTTTGCATGTATAATATAGCAAACGTAAAATTTACAAGCGTGCTTATGTATGCCTGCACAGAAAGCCCAAAAGACTTACCAAATTCTCCAGATTACTCTCAGACGGAATCATATAGCGAACAGTGGAAAGGATTCGGACGCAAAGTTCCTCCTGTTTGTCACCAACCAAATATTCACAATGTTTGATCAATCTAAGATTGAGCACATTATATTTATCATTTACTTGTGTGACACTTTTTGCAGTTGTGCATTAGTTTTCCACATATCTGTTTTACATATGTTTCAGCAAATACTTGAAAATTTTAAGCAAAACGTTAGGCAACAAAAACTCACAATTTGCCATGATAAATACGTCGACCTACACATCTTACAGTTCCTTCTGAATCGTGAAACACCAGCCTCATAAGTAATTGTTCCAGTTTTTCGCTTCTCTGGCATTCTTAATGAACCGAATTTCAAAGATCGATAAAAAGGGTATATCGAATAAGGCACTTTTTTATGAACGCCTTATCAAATTCCGATGAACTTAGATTTCTTTCTTTGCACAGCTTTCCTTTTTGCTGCTTTTCTCTGATGCAAGCCAAAGACAAATGCGTGGAAGCGATGGTAAATTAGGAAGAAGTATGTGCTCACGAGATGTTACGACTATCGCAAGCGTCTGACATGAAAACTGAAATGCTTCACTAAGACCGCAATAGAAACCAATGTTGATTAAACATTTTATGCCATAAAACACCTATGTGTAGGAAAACGACATTTTAACTACAAACGTGAAATGATCAAGAGACACTATTCTTTACAGAATGTACGATGAAATCTGTTTTAGATGCCGTCGACCTTCTGAACACACAAACTTGCGCTTCCTGAAAGCTACTGTAGGATCGGGTGAATACATTTGTGACTTTGGGCCCTACTGCGAGTGACCCCCCTCTTCACGCAATCTTTTGATCTTCATGGGGAAATTACCGTCATTAAACTTCATGAGTAATGAGAGTATAGTAGTTTTATGTCTCCTTCATAGACGCCTGTTTCTGTTCCAAAACATTAGCAAGATTTAATAACAGATTTACAACCTTATGGTGCTCATAAAATCGCAAACAAAGATGAATAAAATTGAGGATCATTTAAAGTTAAAAACTGAGGCAAAGCCGAAATAGACTTCAGAACATATAACTCATTATATATTGATATAACCTTCTCAATGATACTCTGGTAGCGAAGGTTCATGATTGTGTATGAAACAATTTGCGGCATCTTAAATTTAGTTCACAAAATCATGTCGGTTCATGACTTTGTCAAATTAGCTTAAGACGAAGTTGCACAGTAAGGACCTCGAAACAATGGATTTCACTGTAAGAAGATTTTGAAATCAAGTAATGATAGGATCGAAATTAATATATTAATTGGTAATACTACATTCCTTTGAATCTAGAAAATGTATCCACATCAATAACGCAAACCTAATATATGTATACAAACCGAGAAGCAAATCCTCCGCTGAGAAAGCTCCTAGTGACGGATGAAGTGCGAGGAAATAGCATTTCTGGAAAATGCAATATATCGACAGCCACCGAGTACTCAGCCTTTGCCAGTGGTAGCATTATGACTTTCAGTTGTCTCACGACTTCCTTAAAAATTACAGTTTTAAAAGCAGGCTGAGGTGTTCGCCTTCCCAAACAAACAGAAATCACGTACATGGAAAAAGTCCACAACATTGGCGTTGTCTGGTGTTTTAAGTGAAGCTTTGGCCGTTTTTGTCACGAACAAGTTAACCTTTTTGTACTTTTTCCATTTGCTAGACAGTTTTTCTGGAGGCATGACGACGTTTGCAGGAAGAGACATGCGTTTGTCAGTGGCTGGAAGAGGATTAAGCTTATCTACAGTAACGGATGAATCAAGCTGCCTTTTTACCGCATCTGCATAACACCTCAACGCAATCCATCAGATAGTACTTGTAGTTTGCATTCAACTCGGTAAGCCATGGAGCACTTTGGAGACGTCCAAAGGCGTCAAGCAATTTACCCAGAATAGAGTCATCGTTCTAAAACATGAAGAAAATAATGTTCGGCGAATTTACTTTCATGGAATTATAAGAAGGGGTACATGCACAGCCACAAAAGGCAAGGCCAATAATAACATTAGATGCAGTTGGACATCGCCTAAGGTTTGAAAGACTACCTTAACATTGACCACGTATTCAGCGCCGGGCTTTTCGAAGAAGACTGACACTAGCTTTGAGGCACTCATACATAGGTACTTCACAGCGACTTCGTTTTCTGACGAACCGTAAGCGAAGAGCTGAGAAAAGAACAGATTACTATGCGTTGCCGGTAAAGGATCTAAAAAACCAACTTTTTCAGTGTCCTTCCAGATGTCCTCGAATATATAGACAATGCAGTCGTCGCAGTACATGTCCTTCATGTCCGCGTCTGTGTCGATGTAGCAGTGAAGGACAAATTTTACGTACGCATCCTTCACCTCATATGGACAATGTTTGCTGCCCAGGACGCTGACAACGTGTTCTAACGGAATTAGAGACGCGCACTGCAGCTCGGTTGTGCCATTCTTACCCGCTGTACAAAGTGCTAGCAACCTGCAAACGAAAATTTCAAAATAATGCGAAGTAGCATTACCCCACGGCATTAACATGTAACAGAAAATTCACTTCTGCTCAAAATTTAAAATGCTTCGCTTTATGAAGCAATTTCACGAGCTTGATTTAGCTACTTCCAATGGTATCATTTACCCAGTCTATGCGTGTTTGTGCGATCACTATCTTAAGCCTTATGAATAAGCAGAATGTTTCTGCTTCGTGATGTCCGTTGCAATCACAGCATTATAACACTTTTGCTACAAGGGGAAAGTTGACTGTAGCTTGAACAGCAGAGTAAACCAACATTGCGATGTCTGATCTTTAGAAAGAAACAGGCTACTGCATTTTAGAGGGAAATATTCCTCTCTAAAAGCAGACCAACTTCTACCTTATTCCCAGGCTGCATGCTGGCCTTCCTGTGGGTGGGTTGCCGTGTCTTTGTTCCAACACAAGAGGCTTGTTAGCTGAAATAAATGATTTATGCCTAACCAGTTTGTCTGACAGGGCCAATCACGTTTAATTAATAATTACGTTTACTGACACCACCTGTCCATTGAATAGAATAGAATTTTTCTTAGTCAATAATACGAAATGAAGCATAGATATTATTAAACTGTGGTCGTTCTCAGCGATCAACCAACTTATTCAGAATATTCTCATGAAACGTACTTTTTTTATAATATTTGTTTTAATTCTTGACGGCTTTATTCTGATTTACGGTGCTTTACAGCAGAAATAGGAAACCATTTTTCCGATGAAGCGACTACAAATTAAAGAAATAGAACGACAGAAAAACGCGTTCAAATAGGTATTGATAAAAAAGGGACCTGTTGCCTGTTTCAATAACAGTTAAATGTATTCCTTTCATGACCCATGACGAGCCTTAAGGCTAAAGCTTAACAAACATGGCGTAAAATCGTTTTTATTTGCGCGTTAAGGCACCACATAACAGCATATTCGGCAGTGGAACAATATTTCCTCGAAAACAAGTACACCAAGCCATCTGAAGTCCCCTGATGGAATCCCAAACACTCGACTACACCACGCTCTCATCAGTCGCAATATGGTAGCTCGCTACTCGACGCAGTCTGATTAAAATACACCATCTGTTCGACGCTGACAGACTAAAATATGAAGTGGCGCGGTCAGCCTACAAATAGGAGGCAGAGAGAGTTTTAGTGCTCCAGTAAATACCCAGTCAGAAAGAGGCAAGCCGATGAAACTAACAAAGACTTCAATGAGGGTGTCGTTTCCTCATCAGAAAATTCAGCTGAGATCAGGAGGAGTACAGCAGAACTCTACCCTTTAGAGTGGAAAAGAATGAGGCGAAGAAAGCGCATTTACAACACAGTGCTGAACCCCCAACGCCGCTCGTTTCTGCTGTCAACCAAAGCTACAGGTCTCTGGGCAGAGAACTTTGGATGCAGAAAGAAGAAAAGAAGATCGAGAAGGAAGTCAGAAATGGTTGCAATCGAACAGTGCTCAGGGAACTGAAAAAGCTGTAAAGGAAGCGGAGGGTCTGGTCTATCCCTATGTACAACGCAACGTGTATCCCACCGGTGGGTCAGAAGGAATGCATCAAAAGATGATGTGAGCATTTCCAGCAGTTGTTGAACAGCTGCCCGGCAGATTAGTATTTTCAGATCATTAATTGCCTGTCAACACTTAGGTGACTACAGATGCAGCCGACGAAACTAGGCGACTATGTGCTGCAATTATCGTGGCATCCAACTACCGTCAACCTGAGGGAAACTCCTCATCTGGATAATCAAGGGAAGAGTAGGAAGGCAG